CTGTGCCACTGGACCCTACAGGACACCTACTACATTAGGCCACAAGGACCAAAGCAGCTCAACTTAATACATAGAAACAAACACAGAGAGGCTGCCAAAACAAGGAAACAAAGAAATATGGCTCAAATAAAAAAACAGATAAAAATTCCAGAAAAAGAGCTAAACAAAATGGCGATAAGCAACCTATCAGATGCAGAGTTCAAAACACTGGTTATACGGATGCTCAATTTAGTGAGGACTTCAGCAGCATAAAAAAGATCCAGCCAGAAACAAAGGTTATACTAATTGAGATATAGAACAATTTATAGGGAAACAACAGTAGAGTAGATGAAGCCGAGAATCAAATCAATGATTTGAAACATAAGGAAGTGAAAAACAACCAATCAGAACAACAAGAAGAAAAAAGAATACAAAAATATGAGAATAGTAGAAGCAGCCTCTGGGACAACTTCAAAAGTGTCCAACATTCACATGATAAGGGTGCCAGAAGGGGAAGAGAAACAGCAAGAAATTGGAAATCTACTTGAAAAAATAAAGAAAATTTCCCTAATGTGGTGAAGGAAATAGATCTGCAAGTCCAGGAAAAACAGAGACTCCCAAACAAGATGGATACAAAGAGGTCCACTCCCGGACATGTCATAATTAAAAAGCCGAAGGTTAAAGATAAAGAAAGAATCTTCAAATCAGCAAGAGAAAAGAAGTTAGTTAACTACAGGGGAGTTCCCATAAGACTGTCAGACAGATCCCTGGAAAGTTGTAGAATTGTGTCAAGGATCCAGGAACCCATAAATACATTTATATTGATGTGACTTTATTTGGAAAAGGAGACTTTGCAGGTAAAATTAAGATTCTTGAGATGGGGAGATCATCCTGTATTATCTGGGTGGGCCCTAAATCCCACCAGCACCAGTGTCCTTATAAGAGACGCAGAGGGAGATTAGATACGCGGAAAAGAAGGTGATGTGAGGATGGAGGAAGCAGAGATTGGCGTGATGCAGCCATGAACCAAGAAATGCCTATGGCCACCAGGTACTGGAAGAGGCAAGGAATGACTGTCCCTGGAGCCACCAAAGGGATCGTGGCCCTGCAAGCACCTTGGTCTTGTTGTACCCACTTAGAGGACCCACCTGGGGGTGGTAATGAGGATTTAGAGTTCGCATAGGCAACCCTGGCTGATGTGGCTCAGTGGATTGAGTGTTGGCCTGTGAACCGAAAGGCCACCGATTCGGGTCTAAGCCAGGGTACATGTCTGGGTTACAGACCAGGTCCCCAGCTGGGGGTGCATGAGAGGCAAGCAATCTATGGCTGTATCTCTCACACATCGATGTTTCTCTCCTTCTCTTTCTCCTTCCCTTCCCCTCCCTCTAAAAAATAAATAAATAAAATCTTCCCCCCAAAAAAGAGTTCACACAGGCAGAGTATTTGGAACAGTGCCTGAAACACAGTCCTTCTGAATATTGACCACCCGTACCCCTACTTCCCCACTGTGGCCCCCGAAAGGGGAGCCCTCCCACAAAAACAAGGGGAAAGCTCCCTCCAATGGTAACCTCATTGCCCACCTCAGATCAGAATGCAGCTTCCGCCTGCCCCTGCCCGCCTCCCCGCTGCACTCGGTGTGGCCCCCAGAGACCAATTTTTGGTCTTGCTCCACTCATCACCTCGGCCAGGCGGAGCACCCCCACCACCTCCAGCGCCCCGGCCTTCCAGAGGAGGGGGTTGCTGAGGAGAGTGGAGAGTTACTTCTTTTCCCTGTTTTGGGAAAGAAGTAACCCTGGAGCCTGGATCTACTCCCTGGGCCGAGGTCAGTATGATAGGAACCATCTGCCAGGCCAGAGGGGATCTTCAGAGAAATGACCACAAAAATGAAGGCCCCGTGCCCCAACAGGCCACCAAGGTCCTTGGAACTCTCTTAGTGTATTTTACTTGTCATATTCAACAAGGACGCATTTCTGAAAACGTGTCCATTGTACATTTGTTTGTGGAATATCACACTTGAACATAGTTTCAGAACAGGGCATTTAAAGGTGAGATTATAAAGCAATAAAGCAGCTTGTGTGGGAGTGGTCTGTTAAAGGGATATTCATAGTTATGGCCTTATCTCAAACTCCCCTCCCAACCCTACTCCTCCCAAAAATAGATCTCGCAAAGCCAGGGACTGGGCCTGACTTCCCAGGCTGGTCTCTCCCGGGAGTGTGGGTTGGGGTCCCGGTTCTGGAACCCTGCCCTCTGCAGCTCTTTCTGGGGCTCCTTCTTCAGTGTGGGGCTGAGAGAACAGGATTCTGCCCCCGTGGGTCCCAGGAATCAGAAGGAGGCCTGGGTTTCAGAGCCGAGGGGAAACGAGTGCTTTCAACATGAGCCTCTTCCTGTAGAGAAGGAAATGGTGCCCTGGCCAGATGGCTCTATTGGTTGGAGCATCTTCCCATATGCCAAAAAGGTTGGGGGTTCGATCCCCCGTCAGGGCACATACTTAGGTTGCAGGTTCCATCCCTAGTCAGGACGGGTAGGGGAGGCAGCCAATGGATGTTTCTCTCTCAAGTCAATGTTTCTCTCTCTCTCTTTCTCCCTCTCTGTCTAAAAACAATTAACATATCCTTGGGTGAGGATTTAAAAAAAAGAAATGGTGTCCTGACCCTGGTTAGAGTCTCCCAAACTACTGCCCATCCCTCAGTCCTTCCAGGCTCTTCTCAACACCTGAGCTTGGATGAGTTTTTAGCCTCTTTCAGTGTCTTCTGGGCTGGACATCCACTCTCAGATAGACCAGGCTTTCAGAGAAGTGGAAGATCTAGGAAGCTGTGGGCATCTTCCTGGGACAACTATGTACTCTTCCCACGGGAAGCAAGAGACCTTGCGAAAATGACATCTTCGATTCACATAAAGCCTGGGGAGACACTGCGACAGCAAGCCTGCCATAGCCGAGGCCACGAGAAGCGAAACAAATGGGGTTTCTCTCACACTTACCTGCCCCAGGGAGCAGGGGACAAAGGCGATTGGCTACATTAAGAATTTCTCAGGGTAAAGACGGCTTCTATTTCTCCTTTGGGTTTTAAAGCTTGCATTTATATTAAGCGTCAGGCCTGTATCAGTGATAGATAAGTGTAGACTCAGGACCTAAAATTCTATCAGGGAGGCAAACACATGAATGAATCGTTACAATACTACATATGTGTGTGTGTACATATATGTATATATAATCAACTTTGGTATATATCATGTTAAATGGAAGCATAGGAACGAGAAACTTCCTGGTGAGGTAGGAGGCAAATAGTTATTCGGGTCTTGAGAGATGAATAGGAGTTTGTCTTGCTTTACTCAGTGGGTGGTGAAGCCGCTCCTGGCCAAGGGCACAGCATGCATTCCTTGTCCCTCCCTCCTAGGTAGCCTCTGCGTCCGGGGCCGTAGGCAGAGAAAGGGCCTAATGGGCACCTTCAGGGAAGGTTGGGAGAGGAAGCTGCAGAAGCCCCGTCCTAGGAGGACCAGGCTGGGTGGGTACCACTGTGGGCCATGGGGAACCTTTGAAGGACTGTCCCTCTGAGGCTTAGGGGCACCTGTTTAGGATGGAGGGGATAAAGTCACAGGCCACGAGAAGCTGAGCCGACAGTGAGGCAGGCCTGAGAGTGGGTTAGTTAGGATTTAAAATATAACTCAGGGGGAGAAACAGGGGAAGAGAGAATTGGGTGCCTTTTCTCTACCTAGTGCCTCCCTTGGAACCTGGCACACACACGCTCAGTCCACGGAGGAAGGCAGCTGGGCGGGGGATTGAGCATCTATCTAAGATGGGCAGCACCGGGCCTGGAGGCTGCAGGGACATTCAACATGCAGCAGTTTCCCTCTCTCCAGTGACACTCGTCCGTCTGAGGGGACAGAGAATGCAAGCACAAACAGGCCACCTGAAGGTGGCTACAAACAACCTTCTCCAACCCGTGTGCCATCTGTTAGAGCAGCAGGGGCTGAGGGCTGCCTGCAAGCGGCCTTGGCTGATGCAGTTTTGCAAGAGGGGGTGTGGCTCCGCGGTGAGGGGCCAGTGAGGGCACCCCTGTGTGTGCACACTCTGCCTCCTGGCCTTCCTGTCTCTTCCCACCCCACCAGGACCCCTCCCCGCCTCCCTCCCTGAGAGCATGCCCCAGGTTTTGCACCCTTTATGATACCCAGTAAGGTCCGTCCAGGGGACAGCTGGACGTTTGGGGGAAGTTGAATGAAGTGGGCTTTGGGGGTGGGGAGGCCTTCACAGGTCTCTTTGAGAGGCTAATAAAAGTATGATCTCGTATACAGAAAAATAAACGCCTCTCTGCCCACACACATGGGCCTTTGCATATGATTTCTAAGCGGCCCAAAGCCCACCTCTAAGCAAGGGAGGAGGGGATGTGGACGTTTGAGCTTGTGGCGAGTCTGGAGAGCAGGGCCCAAAGAGGGGCCGGGGTCCCCTTCCCACCCTAGCCTGGGAGACCTTGAGGAGTGGCTCTTTGGGTCAGGCGAGAACCACAGCCCCTCGCCCAGTGCCCACCTGAGGAGCACTGAACGTGGGGTGGAGCAGACAGCCAGGGAACCGGTCTGCCAACCAGTTTAACCAGGGACTGGTTTCGACTCTGGAGTTCAAAGGAGCAGGGTGCACCCTGTTCTTCTCGGCCAACAACGGGAGCAGCGGCCCTTAACCCTTTCCCAGTTGTGCCCGGGGCAAAGTCCAGACTCTTTGGAGCTGGAAAGGGATCTGAACCTCCTTGGGGCATGAAACGGGGTGGAGGTGAACTTGGTTACATTTGGCCAGCAACCAGGCACCCTGAGAGCGGGGAAACTGAGGCGAGAGGCTTCCTTCCGACAACCTCAGCCTTCCCTTGGGATTCCCTCCTCCAGGCGAGGCGGTCCCTGGAGGACCCTGGCTTCTGGGTGGGTGCAGGGGCACTGGGATTGGATTACTGAGGTAATGAATATTCATCAGCCCCAGCCGGCCTCTGCTTCTGTTTACTCAGCCGGGAGGGGCTGGGTTTCAGGTTCACCTTGACTCCTGGAGGCGCAGTGAGCAGGTACCCGCTTCTGCACCTGTTTCTCTTGCACCTGCTGCACAGCTGCTCCTACTCAGCTCACCTGGACTGAGCCTCGCCTGGCGCTGCACCCTGGCGGCACCCCCAGCTCCCCCAGGCTCCCCTCCGGGCAGCACCTGCACTCAGCTCCTTCTCTAGGGAAGGTCTCACCTCCAGCCCACAGCAGTCAGGATTACAGGTACAGGCAGAGGGGTGGGCAGGTGGGGAAACCAAGGCACAGTCAGGGCACCCGGTTCTGCCTCCATGGCTGACGAACCCAGCTGGGAAGGCGGACCCAGGCCTGCCAGCTCCCACCTCTCCCTAGGTGAGCTGGCAGAATTCAGGACTCATCCCATTGGCTTCTTGGAGTTAATCCAGGCCTCCAACAGAGTTCCTTCTGGGAAAGTTTCACTCCAGAGCGGTTCCATTAACTCTTGCTGAGCTGGAACCTACCAGCTCCGACCCTCCAGCCTGGAGGATGTTTCTGTCTGTGGGGCAGGAACCACTCCCTGTTCCTATGGAGGGTACACCAGTCTCCTCTGGGGGAGAAGTCCCACAGGGGCCCTGAAGAGGGCCGAGGGCTAGGGGCTCTGGATTTTGTCTTATAACATAAAAGCTGACTTGTTCCGCCAACCTCCCTCTACCCCTCCACCTTGCCACAGTCAACGGTTAACTTGGATCAGCTAAGAAGGAGCTCTACCCAGCCTGGACAAGGCCCTTAGAGCAGCTCGAAAACCTCAGCTGGGGTGCCCACGTGCAGGCCACGGTGCTGGCTGTCCTAGGCAAGAGGTGGCCGGCTGTCCCAGGCAAGGGGTGGCCGGCTGTCCCGTGAGGCCTCCTGAGGCCGGGTTCCCAAGCTGTGCAAACAGCGAAGGTGTAGCGGGCCTCCTCAGAGGCAGATTTCTATCAGCCCAGGAATTGCAGGGCCCCAGGGCAAAAGCTCAGCCCTCAGCTCGGCCAGCTCAGGGCCGTGTATAAGCAGACTGCAGACCATGTGTCACCAAATGCTGGATCTGCAAAAAATCCCAATTCCACCCCCTCCCAGCCCTTCCAGCCTTCTGTGATTAGACATGGGCGCGTGGCTGTGGGTACCTTGTTCTTGGCTACTCTGGATAGCTGGGAAGTTTGGATTTCACTTCTTTTTTTCTTTCTTTTTTTTTTAAAGTCAGATTTTACATTCTCTTGGAGTAGCTCACTATTTACAAGAATCTTACAGTTAGCTGGATTATTCTGCGGAAGGAATAATTTAGGTGTTTTGCAAGTTCAGATTTCCATAGGTCAGGCTTGCCTAGAGGGGTGAATACCTGCTTGCTTGCGCTGGAATGTTCTACACAGAGGGACAGCAATGCCTCGCAAAAAGTATTCTAAAGAGACCAGAGTTCACGCCAGGAGACAAGGGCACTGGTGCCTTGGTGCCGTGGGAGCCAGGGCAGGGTCCAAGGGCCATTCCCGGTTTCCTGACAAGTTCCCTGTGATCTGTCCCTCCCTGTGGACGCCAGCTTGAAATACCCGTGAAAGCGGGTGTATTTTAACTGGCACAGGCAGAAGCCACTTCCTCCCGTGGAACTGGGCACAGTCTGGTGATTGCTGTCGATTCAGGAGCTGGGTCCCCACGTTCCTTGGCAGCCCTGGGTGGGTGGTGGGGCGCTGCGGGACTTGCCCCGGGCCAGGTGCGATGGGGGGCACCCACAGGCCAGACAAGCGTCCTGTCCCTCCTTCCCTGCCCTCCTCACAGCTCCTTCCAGAACCCATTCTGGAACGCCGCGTTCTGTGCAAGGCTGTGCTAAGCCCAGGTGGGGCAGGCTGCCAAAGCAAACCTCTCAAGCTGTGCCCACGGTGCGCTCGCCACCCCAGGGTGCCCTGAAAGTATTTGTCTGGCTACTCTTACCCTCCCCTCACTTTCTAAGTGGGAGCTGCACACGACCTCCCCTGGGTTCTTGTGCTTCTGCAGCTCAGCTAGGGGGACAGAGCAGGCAATGTGGGATCAGCTTTCTGGACAAAGCGGTGAAAAGGAATCGGTTGAGGGTGTGCTCTGGGCAAGAAGACGGGTATATGGGGGGACAGGGGACGACAGCAAGGGTACCAGTGGATGGAGGCACTCAGCTCATTCCAAGCCTAGGCCAGCACCCTGCCTTCATTTTTCCTGAATTTGATACGCTCCTTTTCTTAAACAAAAACAAAAACAAAAAAACTCCACACTCACTATGGAAAATCTGGAAATCAGAAGAATGGAGGTTCTCCATACTGCTTCTATGTTAAGAAAACCGCTACCAATCATTGATCATATTTCTTTCTGGCCCTTCTAGAAAAGGCAGTTAAGACCATCAGTTTTTAGGAGAGGGTACAGTTGCCCGAGCTTGGGCTGGCTGACCATCTGGCTTTCCGGTGTGTTGTGGCTACTGCCTCCCACGCAGGACCTTTCCCAGCCCCGCCCAGCAGTCCGGAGGCGCCTCTCCAGACACAGAGAGGCCTTGACTACTCATCCCTCTGCCTGCTTTTACACTGATCTTAATTCCTCTGCTTTACTGTCTCCTTCCATCTTACACACCCCGCCTGTCAGGATGTCCAGGCAGCTTTACCTCCCCAAATTTCCACCCGCTTAGACAGCACCTTTGTGGAGTTTAGTAAGTGGCGAGGTCGCATCCAGGGCACGTCGCTCGGATGTCAGCCCTCTCAGCCCCCGCAGCCCACCTGTGTTGGGCGGCCTTATGGACAGTCCAACCTGTGATAACCGCATCTCACATGTACCTCTTGGCCCCACCAAACCTCCTTCCAAATTTTCAGCTCCCCTTCAAACTCCTCTCCCCGTGGAAGATGGGTGGGGGAAGGGAGCCACCCCTCGAGAATTTATTACCATTATTGTAAGTTCTACTTTGCAAGGCATATCTACTTCCATGGGTAGACATCAATGTCAGAGCTAAATATGAGGGCTGGGAAGGATGGATGAGGATACTGAGGTCCAGAGAATTAACCTGCCAGAGGTCACGAAGCTGGAACAGTTCCCAGGACTTCCCATTCCCAGCCTGAGGTCCTTTTCCCTTAGAAAAAGCCCAGTTGCTTCCGCAGTATTGCTGGTCACCACTGGGAAGTCCAGATCACTTCAAACATCACAAATTACATTTCATAATCAATTTCAAGCAAAATGCACAGGGTGTTTCTGTCCAGTTGACCATCTGCCCAGAGGGTGTCAAAGGCCTGGACGCCTTTGACCACCGTTCACCTTCCTGCAGTCCCAAGAGACCTGGAAGCTGGAAGCTGCGTGGCAGTGGTGTGTGGCTTCCCCCACTGTCACCTGCACCTGGGTCCGACAGCTCTCCCATCGGCGTGCACGTGGCCGTCCTTCCCCAGACCCTCTCTCTTCTCAGACTCCCCGAATGCGCTGCACCACTAACCTGAATCCTGGGTTCACTCTGCCCCCTGTAATTCTTTTAGGCCTGGGCTACTCCAATAGCCTGTGGTTAGCAGTCTTGACTCGGCTGCCCCAAGGCACGCCCCTCTTTCTCCCCACTGACCCCTTTCTCTCCTGTCCCTGCTCCTGCAGAGAGCCCACCCTCTACTCAGGGAGCGCCATGACCGAAGTTGGTTGGTGGAAGCTGACCTTCCTCCGGAAAAAGAAATCCACCCCCAAGGTGCTGTATGAGATCCCTGACACCTATGCCCAAACTGAGGGCAGCGCGGAGCCCCCACGGCCCGAGGGCGGGGACACCAACAGTGACTTTAATACCCGCCTGGAGAAGATTGTGGACAAGAGCACAAAGGGCAAGCATGTCAAGGTCTCCAATTCTGGCCGCTTCAAGGAGAAGAAAAAAGTTCGAGCCACTCTGGCGGAGAACCCCAACCTCTTTGAGGACAGGGAGGGCAAAGGACAGTGAAGGGGGCCATGGAGGATGCTAGCGCCTCCCTGCTCCTTGCGGTAGGCTGCGCCGACAGGAGCTTGCCACGCGGGCCTCTGGCCCCAGCTGAAGCCGCGGGGGGCAGTTGATGCCTACTGGCAGGAATGTGTGGTTTTAGGTTTGTATTTATGTGCCCCAGCTCACTGGAAAGCCTGGGAGATCCCAGGGTCCTCCCAGTCCCCCCAACCACATAGAAAGGCACTCCGGTTCAAAGATGAGAAGTGCCAGCCATGAAAGACAGCCCTCCTTGCAGCCACGTCAGGGCGGGCAGGGAGGAGGCCGAGGAATGGAAAGAGGGAGCCTGTCTGACTTCACCTCCTCCCAGGGCACAGGGTCAGGGGTGAATCTGAATTGCTGTTCCCTCTACTTTCTCAACCCATGACTGTTCCCTGGACCAATTCGGAGAGTGCATTTCCCAGAAGCCATGTGATGGGGGCTGATTCCAGGAACCAGAGGCGAACTGAACTTGAGCTCACCTCCTAACGTGAGGGGGAAACTGGCTGGAACTTTGCCCTCTTAGAGGTGCAGGGGAGGGAGGACCCTGGCACTCCCTGGGGGTGCTGCAGAAGGCCAGGTTAGGGACCCCGAGGGTCCAAATTAAGGGAGGGGGGAGGCAGCTCTGGTAGCAGCTGAAAGCAGCCAGGCCTCTTCTCTCCTTCCCTACTTGTACTGACGATGGGTCAAGCCCCAGAGATGAGTCCTGAAGCCTTGAATTTTGTTTAAAAAAATAATTGTAGTTTTCTCTCTTTGTAATAAACAATGCTGCAAAAGCAGAGAACCTATTTATACACTTTATATGCTTGCTTTGCATTTATTAACAGTTTCTCATGCCTTTATCTCTTTCACATGAGTAAATTGGAACTTGGTGCTTAAACCATTCCTTTCGAATTTCAGAAAGGGTCCCCAGGTGTCAGAATGGAGTAACTGGGACGCTGATCTCACCACCAAGCACACGTAGCATCTGGGGACAGAGAGAACAAAGGAAGGAGCTTGTGACACCTTGGTGGTCAGTTCCTCTGGTCAACAGACAGGCCATCAGGGGCTCCAAGGGAATGGAGCAGAACTTCGGTGACTGACCCAAAGTCACCACAGTTTGGTTTGGGATCGGGATTCAAATACTGGTTTGACCCCTTAGTTGTTGGGTGATTTGGGACACACTAAAAAAACCAAAAACACAAAAAAACCTCTGAGCCTCAGTTTTGTCTTCTATAAAAGGGGCTGTAGTGACACCAATTTCACAGGGAGCGGTGGCTTTTAAGTGGCCCATAAGTAGTCCTGTCACATAGGTCTATTTATGGGCCACTTAATAGCAACAGGTGCTCAGTTATCACTGGCTTTCTGTGCCCCTCTCCATTATTGAGGCGCTCTGCCATAGCCCGCGGCTTCCATTTAAGGAAGAGGAGAGAGCGGGCTCCTTATGCTGTTGCTTCTAGATCTTTCTCAAGCCCCAGAAGCTGGGAACTGGACAGAAATTGGCCAAGTCTCTGGAGCTCCTAGTGGGGACATGGACAGACCAAGGTGGCGACTAGACCAAACAATGTGGTCCAGCAGCGTCCAGGTCAGCTCCTGGTAGGCTGCTCCGCCACCCCACCCCAAGGAGCTTTCTCAGGAAGTTTATTAGCAAAACAAACAGACCTTACAAGGGGCCTTTGTGAGGTGGCCTCGCCCTGGGCAGGGGGGCTGTGAGGATGAGTGAGGGAGGCCGGGAGCTGGAGGGAGGGAAGGAGGACTCTTCCCGTCCCTCCTCATTGCATGGAACTTTCTAGGGTCTCCTCAATTTCTCAGTCCATAAAGCCTCCCCCAGAGGAGCAGACTTCCCCCGCACCCCAGCCTGGCCCAGTGTTAAACCCTGACGTTTACAGAGGGTTCAATGTGGGCCCTGCGGCAAGTACTCCCCGAGGCTCCTTATTTAATCCTCTCATCCCCTGAGACAGGGGCTATCGTCAATTATCCCCGTTGCCCTGTGAGTTAACTGAGGCTGAGAGGTTACATCGCTTGCCCGAGGTCATGCCCTCACAGCAGAGGAGTTGGAACTGAAGCCAGGCCTGGACTGTACCTGTGACCACTGAACAACACAGCCCCCCCCCCCCCCCCCCCGCCTTGATTTTCATCTGCTTAGGGGATGAGAAACTGAGGCTCAGGGCAAAGAAAGGAACACAGTCACCTTCTGCTGACGGGGAGGGGAGGTGGGAATCTGGGAGGTGAGCACCATTTGAGGGTGCTGCAGACTCTGGGACCACTGGGGGAAAGCAGCCAGCTCTGAGGCTGGGTGTGCCCTGAGATCCCAGACGGTAAGGGACGTCCCGCACGAGCCGTCCTGAGCTTCCCTGGGGCAAGGGTGGGGGACGAGGCTGGGTCCTGGGCCGCAGACCCTACCTGTGGCCTAATACTGACGTAATTAATGCCTGACCTAATGCTGGTACCGTATTGCCACCATTACTCCTCTTAGGTGAGAGGGTCTGCAGGCCCCTCTGCCCCGCGCATGCAACCGTGCTCCACAGCCCCGAAGTAATGACTGCAGGAAAATTCAGGGAAACTCCACATACACCCCTGCGCTTGGAATTAGTGGATGGGGGTGAGGAAGTGGAGTGGGTGTGAATGGCTAAACAGAGCTCTGGCTGCCCAGGGAGGCAGAGCCCAGGCAGCCGCCAGCTTTCACCAGGCCGGAGAAGGAGGAACCGAAAGTGCAAATATGTGCAGGAGCTGGGGAGAGGCTATGGGTTATCGACCACAGTTTCACTGGGACTCGACCCAAGGGGGGAGGGGGAGGCAGGAGGGGCCAGCTAGCAGTGGCCTGCGCTGCCCAGAAGGGACCAACCTTGGGCAGCGGGCTCCCCCTGCTGGACGCCCCACCTCCCCAGGGAGGAGAAATGAGGCGCTGCTCAAATCCCCCTACTGCCCTCCTTCCTAGGGTCCCCGGCAAGACCAGGCCAGATTGAACATTAACATCACACATGTCTTATGAGTTTTTATTACAGATTTGGCAAAGTGATTGTTGGACAGAGAATAGGGAAGGAACTGCTGAGACCAGGCACAAAGCTGGGGGTATACACATCTCCCAGTCACATACACAGGATAAGGTAGGCGAGGACACCCTAGCACCCTCTCCTGTTGGTTTCGGAAAGGCCAGCGCTGCGCCTTCCTGCACTCAGGCTTGGTGGGGGAATCGACACTAAGAGGGCGGCCCTTGGGGGAGCTGGTCAACAACAGAGATGCTGGGGTACATGCCCATACAGTGGAGTGGGGGCAGGTCATAGAGGGGTAAGTTCAATGCCAATGTGCACAAATAGTAGTCGGTTCTCTTATCCTGGCTTAGTCACAGCAAACATTTACCCAGCCTGGCTTTTCTCCACAGCCTGTCAGCCCCTCATCCAGGCTGTCCCTGGTCACCAGACTTGTGCTCAAGGAAAACAAATACAGTTCAGCACAGGCCTCAGCCGAGGGTTCCTGGAAAATCCACTTGTGGGGGTGATAGGCAGTAGGTTTAGAGGTTGAGGCCAGTGCACGTCACCTTCGGGGGTCCTGTTAAATGCGGGACGGCATTCAGCGGGTCTGGGGCGGGCTCCTGAGCGATGCCAATGCTGCCTGCGTCCTGCCTACCACACAAGGATCTAGACCAGGGGGTTAAAGCCTTGGCTGCAGAGTTCCCTGGGGAGCCTTTACCTTTCCCAAAGACCAGGCTGCCCTCAGACTGGTGAAACCATCGCTAAGGGGAGGATCTAGGATCATCAGGAGTTTTAAAGCTCCTCTGGGGTAATTCCAGTGTGGATGAAACCCAGTGATGGGAGGAGCAGGGGTAGGGATGTATGAATAGTCAGAAAGGCATAATCTCCGTAATAATTTAATTTTATACGTGGAAATTAAAATAAATAATGCTGTTTATAAACAAACATGGAAAGTAAAGCTTGATTAAAATCTTCCTGGCCCGTAGGTACCAGCACATGAATCCTTTCTATAAAACTCCTGACTGGGATTGAATACTTCCAGGAACAGAATCCTCACTACCTAACGCTCACTCCCCACTCCCTCTTGAAATCTCTCCCGATATTGAGATGAAATCTGTTTCTGTGTAATATTCCCCTATGGGTCCTCTGGAGCTACAGAGAACAGAATCAATCTTTTTCCACATTTCTGTGCTTCAGACAATGGAAGGCAGCTATCAGTAGGGTGAGTGCTCTAAAAATATTGAGTATCTATTAATAAAAGAGTTAAGGTTCTTTTGTTTGCAATCAACAGAAGTGGATTCAGTTAGTTTATGTAAAAAAAGGGTTTGTTTTTTTTTTTAGAGACAGTGGATGTTTGAGGCAGGAGGAGGAACGGCACGACCCAGACATGGGAAAGAGGCACCCAGGACCGCTCGGGGGGCTGCAGGAGCAGCAGCCAGGGCCTGTTGCTTCTTGGCTGCCATTAATGACCTGGCGACAATGACGCATCATGCTCTGGGTCACTCCATTTCAAATATCAAGTAGTTGACAAGAAAAATTGATGGGCTAGATTGGCTCAGGTGCTTATGCAGCGACCAATCAGCTTTGGCCAATATGGCTCAGTCACAGTGAAAAGACAGGGCTGCTGGGGACCCACCCGGTCACCAGAGAAGGGAATCACATCAGCGGCTACCTCTAGCAGGGGGTGTCCAACCTGTGGCCCGCGGGCCGCGGGCCGCCCAGGATGGCTGTGAGCGTGGCCCATCACAAAATCGTAAATTTACTTAAAACATGATGAGATTTTGTTGTGATTACGGGTTGCAATGTATTTAATGTGTGGCCCAAGACATACATCGTCTTCTTCCAGTGTGCCCAGAGACGCCGAAAGTTTGGACACCCCTGCTCTAGAAGAGAATTATTCCAGTAAATTATTGTCAAAACCAAGAAAATAACTGTGGGATTGTTTTCCTTTTGCGATTCTCTATGCCACCATGACACTCCATCAGACAGCTCATCAGGAGCCAAAAGAGTACAGAGTGCTCGAAGGGTGAGCTCTGCAGGCCCCTAAAGACAAAGATGGGGAGGGAAATGCATTGAGTTTAGAAAGGCCTGGCTCCCAATCCCCCTCCCTCTCTCAGCACCCAGTCCTGGCTCCAAGGGGCACCACAGACGGGGAGTCAGGGAGCAAGTCTCTCGTAGAGCCAATCTTCCTCCCCTTGGTGGGTCATGGGTCCCAAAGGGGAGTCCCCCGGCAGGAGGCTCCGCCGGAAGACGATCCGGTCGTGCAGGCGGTTGGTTTGGCCTTGCCAGAATTCTATCACCTGTGGGTACAGGACATAGCCACCCCTACAAAGAGGAGCAGAGGTTTCAGGGCCCGGTGCATGTCCCTCAACCACGTTACCGCCCCCGCCCCTGCCATCCCAGGGCCCCCCGAAAGAAGTTGCTGGCATGTATCTGATGAGGGCTGACAGGGAGGAGCAGATCTGTGATTCCACAGACAGGGTGACTTCAAGTAAACGCAAGAGTCCTGGTGTCCCTTTCTACATGACTACCAGGCATCACTTACCAGTATTTTGGCTTTGGCACCTCTTGTTCCTGGTAGAGCTTCTCCAGCTCCTCTTTCTTCTTTCTCAGGTACTGTCCGGGAGAAGGAGATGGAGCAAGGGCCAGACCCAGTCAGTGAGTCATTTAAAAACTGCTTACTGAGCATGTGCCTGTGCCAGCTGCTGGGGACACACGTGAGCAAGGCGGGCTGGCCTTGGCTCTCCAGGAACACAGTCCAAAGGGAGGGCCAGACGGACACAGGAGTCCCATTTCCCCGGTCCCTGTCCCCATCCCCCCAGGGAGACCATCCGTCTCAGTCTGCTGGAGAAAGCCCTGGCATCCCGGGACACCACCTCTGGGGATTAGCCCGGGCCCTTGGCACCCGGACGACTAAGAGGGAGCCCCACTCACCTCTCGATCAGGGATCACAGAGCTCTGGTGACTGACCACAGCCCCGATCCGGCTGCTCTTGGGGCGGGAGTGGAAGTAACTTGCGGCCTCCTCCTCTGGCAGCTTTTTCACAGGGCCCTCCACACGCACCTGCTCAGGCACGGCCCTGGCTACATGGCATTCAGTGCCGCCCACCCTCCCCACCAGCACGGGCCCCACCACCCCTCCACTCTTGGCATCAGCTGGGCCAGCCCATTGAGAGTTATTTGAGAGGCAGGATATTTGCCCAGCCCGGGGACCTCCAACGCGCTCATATATAAACTCAGGCCCCTCCCCCTGCGGCCCACCCCAGGCTGTCCCGGGAATGTTCACTCACCTGCCGGTTTAGGGGCTCCCAGTAGAAGACTAGGGAAGCAAAGGGATTAGAGTCCTGGAAATGAAAGGGAATCCATAGCGAGCCATCAGGACAGCAGGAGGGTGCCTCTGGCAGCAGGGGGAAGGCAGGAAGTCTGGTCCTGCAGCGCACAGGTCCACAGGAGATGCACTCAGTGTAACATCTCATTTAAACCCTCAAAGGTAGGCCTTCTTTTACAGGTGTGGAGATACGCTCACAGGGGTTAAGGAATGTGCCCAAGTTCACCCAGCAAGTGGCAGATCGGTGTTGGACAACTAAGCCAGCTGGACTCCAAAGCGACGCTTGCCATTTCTCTAACCCACAGATTTGCGAGTTCTGAGAAATGCATGCTTGGCTGGCAGGGACTCGGGGAGGGCGACTCACTTGGACTTATGAATTGTACGTATACAAAGTGCCAGCTCTGCCTGACAGCAGAAGAGGTCCTGGGGGTATAACAGATACAACAGATGCAACCTCTGCCCCCGCAAAGCTTACCACTTAATAGAGGACACACACATTAATCATATAGAATCATATACACACACAGTTAGAAACTGAAAAAATGGCAGGGAAGTTGCTAGTTATAATGATAGCAAAGAGCATGAGCGGCTGACTGAGTGTAGGAGTTGAGGAGGCTCTTTTGAGGAGGTAATATTGCAGCTGACACTGGAGGGATGGGAGTTACTTAGGTAAACAGATGGCGGGGGCGGGGGTTGGAGAGAGCACTCACGCGTGAATGGCAAGGAGAATGGCAAACGCGAAGGCCCACAGACAGCGTGGTGCTGGAGCACAGAGCACAAGTGGGGTGGGGTAGGGTGGAGTGAAAGGTAACCAATGAGGCGAGGGCTGGACTCTGCAGTCCTGAGGATCTATCATGAACCCTCACCAGTTCTTTTCCCTTTCGGCTCTCGAAGTTAGTGAAGAAGCGGAAGCCATCCTTGCCAAAGCCCTTCAGCAGCACCATGCGGGCAGAGGGCTTCCCGTCTCTGCGACGAAGAGCAGAGCGCCACGGTCAGAGCCCACTTCAATGTCGTTGCTGCCGCCCCGCCCCCCAGAATGACTGAGCACCCCTCCATCTGCGTCCCTTTATTCCACACTGTCTGGGCACTCAGGCCACTCAGTCCCACTTGCCCTTAGGGATTTGTCCTGAATGTACAACAGGACACTGCTGGCTAGGGCCCTGTTAGGGACTGAACTATGTCCCCCTAAAATTCTACATGGAAGCCCTAACCTCCAGTGCATTTGGAGACAGAGCCTTTTGGGAAGTAAGTAAGGTTAAATGAGGTCATAGGGGTGGCACTCTAATCCAAAAGGACTGGTGTCTTTATAAGAAGAGGAAGAGACTCCAATGATCTCTCACTTGCTCTCCCTGCATGCACAAAAGAAAGGCCATGTGGGGACAGAGCAAAAAGCAGCCATCTGCAAGCCATGAAGAGAGGCCTTACTAACAAACTCTGACAGCACCTTAATCTTGGACATCTAGTTTCCAGAGCTGTGAGAAAATAAATTTCAGTTGTTTAAGGCACCCTGTCTGCAGTATTTTGCTTTGGCAGCCCTAGCAAAGTAACAAGGCTCTAAGAGCAATGACAAGCAATAATGCAATCAGCCAGCGCTTAGGGATCACAGAAGGTGTAGTTCTATCAGATCCTCTGCCCAGGGCTCTAGGGGATACCCAGGGCACAGCACAAGAGCCCTGCCTTCAAGGCCTTATATTTTAGTGAGCGGGACAAGAGGAGTGGGATAAGAGGCTAATATGGGAGATGTCTCAATGGTTGATTATCAAGTGAATGATACAGCCAACCACTGTCTACATTTTGAGAAAGACAGAGAGAGAGCTTCATGGAGAGACCCCTGGAGATACAGCTCTTAAGGGGCATCCAGAAATGGGGTAGGTGGGGAGATAAGGGAGGCATGGGTGTATGGGGGTGTTGTATCAAGGGCAGACATGAACGAGGCACTGCATTTCATCAATGAAACAGAATTGAGTGAAATATGATCTCTGGTTTACAGGTAAGGACACTGAGGCCCAAAGAGGTTAGGTAACTTTCCTGAAACTGCACAGCATGTTAATAAAAGAGCTAGAACCATAGAGTTGTCATCTATCACACTGAGAGCTTCCTAAGTGTCCTACTTCATCTGTACCTTCCCACGGAAGGGCCCATAGCTATGCCCACCTGGTACAGGTAGCCAGACACATGGCATTGGCTTCCCCTATGTCAGGACACTGAACAGCCTCTTCGAACCATTTGGCAAACTGCTTCATGGGGTCCAGAGAGGTCAACTGAGACTCCTCAAATGCCTGGGAAGGGAGAGTTTTATTTCGTTTAATAAACAAAACACTTATGTTGCTTGATGTATATGTAGAACTATTCCAGGCACTTCTCAAATGTTAACTCATTTAGTCCTCATGTCAACAATCTCATAACAAAAAAACATTACCCAGGAAATAGCATCTGCTAGCCCCACACTACAGACAAGGACACAGGCATAAGAAGGTGGAATAACCTGCTAGGTCCCACAGCTAGTGAAGGGTGATGAATCAGGATTTCATGTCATGGGTGTCAAACAAACCATTGAAAAGCCTTAAAAAAAAAAAAAAAGACAAATTCTGGGCTCTGCCCTTGTAAATTCTCATTCAGTACATCTAAGGTTTAATGGAAAACTGCATGTTTAACAAGGATTTCTGGAAATGCTTCCCTGGCCTGGTAGTTCAGTTGGTTACAGCATTGTCCTAGTAAGCCAAGGTCGCGGGATCCCAGGTCAGGGCACATACAAGAATCAACCAATGAATGCATGAATAAGTGGAACAGCAAATCAACGTCTCTCTCAAGCTCTCCCTCTTTCTCTTTCTCTCCCCACTCCTCTTCTAAAATAGCTAAATTCAATATTCTCTCTAAAATCAATAAATTAAAAAAAAAATCTCTGGAAATGCTCACATGCAACCAGAGGCTTTGGGCCCTAGTTTCAAAACAGCTCTCTTGGTTCCTCTCCAGGGGAGGGAAAAGGAAAAGGATTCCAGGTGGTGAGCGAAGGGAAAGAAGGTAGGAGGGAGCTAGGAGCGTTCTCCCCTCTTTTCCGTGAGTTAGTCCCCCTCCCCCATGTTTTCACTTAACAACCATTTATATGCCTATTGTCCCGGTTCTAAGTACTTCACAAACATCTGAGTCCATCACATGCCCGCGAGGTAGGTACCATCACTTCACAGGTGAGGAAACTAAGGCCCAGAAACGTTAAGTAAACTGCCTAAGGTGATGCGCCCCTTGAACGGCAGAATTCCAGCCCTGGAGCCTCGAGACCGTGTGCCCTTACCCACCACCACAAGCTGCCTCCCGAGCCCGCCTGCGTCCCGGTTTCCCCGGAAGCTCTCCCCCGTCGGTCGTCTTTGAACCCTCTTGTCCCACAGGGATGACCCCAAGCCCTCTCGCCCCCACGGGGTGGCCCCAGAAACCCCGTGGGGTTCTTCCCACTCCTCCTCCTCTCCTCAGACGACTTGCGATTCCCCGCCCCTGCGGAGACCCTGCCCAGCGACACCTCTTGGTCCCCGCGGTAACTCTTGCGCATCGGTCCCAGGTCCATGACAGTTCCTCGGCTGCACAGGTGACGAAGGTAGTGCGGCCACTCGACCGATCGCCCTAACGTCACGGTGACGCCCCGCAGCCTGAACGTCATGGGGCCGTCGGCCACGTGACCCGGCGTCTCCGGGCGGCGGGTTCGGTTGTGTTCGGAGCCAGTTTCTCAGTCCGGAGTCTACCCGGGGAAAGGAAAATTTGTCAGTCGCCAAACCCAGCTCCCCTAAGTCCTCGGAGCCAATGGAAGCCCAGGGTTGGAGGAGGGAGCCGGGCACTGGGAGACCATTGGTCTCAGTTTTCCAAAACGAGGCCAATTAGAGCGAGAATAGGGGAACCCAGGGGCCAATGGGCGGCGCCTCGGGGGGCCGGAGCAGGGAGAGAAGGAAATTCTGTCACCGCCGTTAATACGCACGTGGAGGTTTGTTAAAGACGGAGGGACTGCTGCGGCCCAAGCTGGGGTCGGGGGATGAGCCGCAGGCAGCTTGGGGAGAGTGATCGGTATTAGGTGGCTGGCCTCTGGTAGGTGCCTAAAAACGAGCTTACTGCAGGAAGTGCTCCCTAGAAGGGAGCCTGGTGGCTTGGGAAAGACAAAAGGAAATGGAATTAAGGGTCAGACCCTGAGGCAAGATGATGGGGAGACACGGAGAAAGGGGCCATCTGGGTGGGGGGAAGAAGTCGGGGTTCGAGAGTGGGAGAGGTTGAAGTGACTTGTGATCCTTCCAAATAGGTGCTGTGTAGTCGTGTGGATGTGTTGTTTTTGGGGGTGGGGGGTGGGCGGTGGGGTTAGAAAGAGACTGTGGTGTGAGAAGGAAGGCAGCTGGCTGTGAAAGGGAAAGAGGGAAATTTAGGATCAAGCTATTCCCAGACCAGAGTCATATTCCTCTTCCAGCTCTGAACCCCCTCTCTCCGGCCTCATTTCCTTCAGGAGAGAGCCTGCTGCTCCCTTTGCTCATGGCTCCCCCTCTCACGGTGGAGCAGACTAGTCGGTGCTCAGGTAGATGGAAAGGCTGCCTCTGGCCCGCCTCCCCTGGACCCTCCCCCTCCTTGCTGAGTTTCCCCTTTCTCACATTTTGCCCTTCTCAGGTGGTTGGGGTCCAGTACCTTGGTCAATGCCAACCCTAACGGAGGGCATAGGAGAGTAAGTGGCTGTGCAAAGCCTCTTCCAGGATGTCAGATGCGGGGCTGAGAAGTGGGAAACCTGCAAGTGCCCATCCCAGCTTTGACCTTGCTCGGGCGGCCATGGGTCAAAGCCTCTCTGTAGTCCTGGTTTCTACCATCATCAGGAAGGCCAACTGCAGGAGCCATCTAGGCAGGCACCTCAGGACTGTGCCAGGTAAGGGAACTGCCTGCTCTGCCCAGGTGTCTGCATTACAGCTAAGCTTCATAAAGTCCTACATTAGATACCTGACACCCTTTATCATGTGCACCTAGCTTGATCAAATAGAATCTGGAAGACAGATTTTCTGCAAAGAAATAATACATGTCTCAAAGCTTAATAACGTCGACCGATGGAGTCTCCACTGGTTGGAATTTTTTGCTGCATTGTTTTCCTCCATGAACATGAGAGTTGACTGGACTTTCTTTCTTGTTGAGGTCGTTTTTCCACATATGAACATTATTGTCTTCCCCTCCTCTCAAGCACTTGTACTTAAATCTGTGTAAGTAGTAATTTGCGCCCTTCAGCTCAGATGGTTTTGTTCATGGGTCCTTACTCTTAGCATTCCTGGGCTATGCTACCCTGGATCCAGGATTCCAGGGCACCGAGACCAGGACCATTTGAGTGGTTTGCTTAAAAGCCAGGAGCTCAGTACAGTTGACTTTGAACAACGCAAGGTTTAGAGCCGCGGGCCCCTCCCCAGTTGAAAATTCCCATATAACTTTTGACTCCCCCAAAACTTAACTCCCAGTAAGTAGCCTACTGTTGACCAGAAGCTTTACCAATAACATAAACACTTGATTACCATGTACATGGGGGGACCCCTGAAAATGCTGGAATTTATTTATAAAAAATTGTGTATTTATTCTTTTATGTTTAAACTTCAGCCACCTTCAAAGTACTCTCCATTTGATGCGATACACCTATCAAGATGTTTTTTCCACTGCTCAAAACGGTGTTTGAACTCATCGATTTTGATGGCTTTTAGGCTTGTGCCATTTTTGTTTCACCCCTTCCATATTGGCAAAATGTTCCCTTTGAGGACTTTTTTCATCCAGGGAAACAAAAACAAGTTATCTGGGGCAAGATTGGGTGACCTCAGAGGGGTCACGGGGGATCATGCCAGTTTTAGTCAAAAAGTGCAGAACACTCAGCAACGTGTGGGCAAATGAGCTCATAAATCACCCATCATGACATGGGCAATATTGTGGCAAGAGTCTTCAAAAAAAAATTCACTGAAGCTGAACACAGCCGCTCACAAACAGCGCCAGCTGGTGCACTGGTACAGCTGGGTTCCTAGAACACTCCCCTAGTGGGGGAAGCCTGTGCTACAAGGAGCCTGCCTTCCAAAAGATAATTCTGGTTTTTTTTTTTGGGGGGGGGGTTCTGTTCCCCTCATATTTTACATGTTACATGTATTAGATGCTGTGTTCTTAGAAAAAAGTTTTAAAAATTATTGAGAAAATCATACGGAAGAGAAAATACATAAACCGTATTGGAAAAAAATCCATGTGTAAGTGGACCCGTGCAGTTCAAAGCCACATTGTTCAAGGGTCAACTGTATAGATGTTTATTCACTCAGTTGACATTCGTTAAAGACTTCTTTTGGAGCAGGTGCTGAGCTAGGTGTGAGCATACCAAGATGACATGGTTCCTGCCCACAGGTATTTGCAGTCTGCAGGGGGAAGCAGATCTGTGAGCTGGAGTTACAGGTACTCCTTTGAAGGTGTGGGAGCGAAAAGGAAGGAAAGCTTCTGTAAAGGGAGCAGACATTTGATCTGTCTGAGTAAGTACATGTTTGCCAGATAGACAGTGGAGGGGGCACGCTAGGAAGCGGGAACAAGAGTCCAGTCCAGGCGTGTTGGGGATACTGGGAGCAGTGTGATCCTGCTTGTACCGGTGGTGAGATCACAGGCCGGGCACTTGGGCAGGGGCTCGCGCGTGCCAGCCGAAGACCAGGCAGGTGGCTCGGGTGAGGCTTTTACACGATTCTTTTTTATCCTGTGCTGTTGTCCAAACAGTGTCTAAATCTTGTTTTTTAAAGACCAGATGAGGAGAAAAAGTAGATTCCAACAGCCTCTCCCATCCTTGGCAATGAGTGAGGAAGCTTGGAACTGGTTGCCTTTTAATATTTTCCCCTTCGTCTTGAATATAAGAAGTAGGCTTTGTTGTGCTTTTCTGCCTAGTGGGATTTGGTGTCTGGATCACAAAGCAGCCCACAGAGCAAAAGGAAGGGGGGCCATGCCCGCTGGCTGTGCCTCTACTGCTGTAACCTCAGCAGAGGTTTTTTTGTTTGTTTGTTTGTTTGTTTTGCCTGTGCGGGAGAATTAAAATTTTTATTGTTACTGCTTTTCATTAAATATTTTGCCACCCTTCCCCCCAGCTTTGTAAATTTATTAATCTTTTCTTGAGAGAATCTTAGTTGAATAGAAAATACACTGCAACATTTCATTGTACAGAAAGGCACACTGTTTCTCCATGTGAAACAAAGAGGCTGTGGGTGGGCCTGGGGACTAGGCTTTGCTTGTTTTCTTCCAATGCTTTACATTTATGTTCTGAAATAGTCTTTTAGTCTAATTGTTTGATTGGATTATATATTTCAGTTATAGCACAGTGATCGAGTTTTGGGACCTGGTGATCACATGGATAGTGGGCAAGGGAGGTCAAGACTGCAGTGCTGTCTACAGGGAAGCAGGACCCGGGGCCCGAGTTCGCGGGTGGGCCGAGACGCAGAGGAGGCGATTGGCTCGCCAGGAGGACTTTAGGCGACTCGGTGGTGCTGTGCATTGCAGCGCAGCCTGTTGGAGGAGGCAGTTCGGGGGAGCAATGAGGTCACTATCGGGCCTCTGGAGTGTGAGGGTTTATGGGACACTACGTGTGGTTGGGTTAGGTAATCAAGCCTGGGGCTTCACATAGAAGTCTGGGCTAATGAAACCAGTTTAGGTGTCGCAAGCCACCGAAGTGGCACCTGAAGCCACGAGGGAGGATGAGAATGTCTGAGAAGGGCAGAGGGTCTGGCAGAGTTAAGGAGGACTGTGGGGGAGGGGAGAGGCCCAGGAGGATGGGAATGATGCTGGTGATACAGTGCCCAGCTTTCCAGGAGGCTGATGGCAGGCTGGGGGTGGAGGGGGCGGGTATGTGCTTGGACCCTTAGGCCCAGCCTTGGGGTGAACTCAGGACACACTTGATGCTCTGCCAACAGATGCCTGAGTCCCAAGTATGGTTATCGGAGGGCCCAGAAGAGGGATGCAGAGGAGGTTGACTTTTACCCGAGCGTCCTGCCTGTGGTTATGGGGTTGACTGCTCACGTGGTCCTTGCATGTGCTCATGGATCTCTCTGCAAGTACATCCCATGGTTTTCATACACATTCCCCATTAGAAGCCTCTTCATGGGATTGACCACATCACTGACTTTGTATGGCTCCTTCTCGACATGCCAGCCAGGAAATGCTAACCTGTCATGTGTTAAGCCAGTCTGTAGCCAGGTACTAGACATTGTGCGTGGGGCTTGGGGGTTTTTTTGCACCTGGTGGGAGTCAGGTCAAGTGTTCTTAGTGTCCAATTGGCTGGAGGGATGTTAAGCTTTCCCAAACTGCATCGAGTATTTTGGTCTTTTTTTTTTTTTTTAAGATGTTATTTATTTATTTTTAGAGAGGCTAAGGGAGGGAGAAAGAGAAGGAGAGAAACATCAATGTGTGGTTGCCTCTCACACTCCACCTACTGGGAACCTAGTCTGCAACGCAGGCATGTGCTCTGACTGGGAATGGAACCGGCGACCCTTTGGTTTTCAGGCTGGCCCTCAATCCGCTGAACCACACGAGCCAGGGCCTGACCTGAGTGAGGTCGGAAGGCATCAGTCTCAGTCCTGGCATTGGCTGCCTTGGTAGTTAACGCATGAGCCACAGGCAGAGGAAGAAGGAGGTCTGGTGGCGGGTTCCCAGGCAGGCCCGAAGGATATGATCTGGTGGCTTCATAGTTTCATCGAGGAATCCAGTTGGTCCTTGCTTTTGGCCTGCCCTGTGGTCATTTCTCCTTTCCTCTTGCCTGGGGTCCTGATGAGCAGGTAGGTGTGTGACTCTCCTCTCCAGCCCCGATTCTCTGCCGTTTCCCACCATGGTTTTCGCGCACACCCCTGCTCTTTATTCCATCTTCTCAGGCTCACTTCCTGCCTCTTCCACCCCTGCCCTAGGAAATCCAGCTGCCACCTCTCCTGAGATTACGGTAGTTCTTTTCATGGCTTTATCCCCGCCCCGGAGACCTTAGACCTTAGTCAGGTCGCAGGAGGTCTCTGTCCTGAGATAGTGTCTCACCCTGACTCAGGTTCCCTGGACCCCACCACCACGTAGGCCACAGCCACATCCGTGAGCCAGGAGCCCCTGACAGGTCCCGGTACCTGAGATGCTGCAGGCGGCCCCCATCACCCTACTCGCATGGGGCCTCAAAGGGCCCTCAAAAGCTGACTGTAAAAATGGACTGAGTAGTTTGAAGGAAGCCTGAGTTCTATGTGTTGATTTTTTTTAAAAAAGGTACTTTGCTTGGATTTGCCTTCAGTATGGGGGAACTTCCCCAGCCCCCTTTTCTTTCCAGCTTGTGATCCTAAGATCCGGGATCAAAGAGCTGCTGGGATCACTGAGCAGCCAGGTGCGGGCGTGGGGGTGGCTTTGGCGCAGATGACCCCGGGGATGGAACTTGGGCTTGCATGGCCTCGCACTGTCAAGCTGTTGGGCATAGCCTGCCCCCAAATTTCAACCAGGACCCATCAGGTGTCCTGGGTGGTGGGGTCTGGCCTGGGGTGAGCTTGGGTGGCATTGCACCAACTGTCCCCATTCCCTGCAACTCACAAGTAAATTAGGAGTTACAGCAGATGAGGGTTAATTTGCCACCAGGTTCTCTGCATTCTGCCCTCATGCCATCTCCTGGGCTAGGCAGAGCACATTCTCTTGCCCCCTTCCTAATTCAGGCATCCCATAGGCAGCAGAGATGGCCAGGCATCACATGGAACCAAAAACACTGGAGAGGGACATCCTGAGTGTCCGCACTCATCTGCACATTGGGGGCTGGCACCCTCATTTCCCCGGGGTGCTGCGGAGTCAGGTCGACTTGAAGCAGGTGACTTGGAATCAGTTCTCAGGAAAGCCAATGGGGAACGTGGGAGAAAGAGGTCCATTGTTATTGTCCCCCTTGTCTCTACTGATCCCGATTCAGGATTCAGCAAGGCAGTTTTGCAGTCGCACAATCTGTGCGTGAGGAAGAGAGAAATATGCCTAGTCTTCCACCTGCCAGTGCAGTGATAAGATGTAGGGCTGATGGGCTCGTTAAGAGGTGTCTATGCCAGGGCAGATCCAGCTGTTGGCCTGGTATCACCCGAAGGACTTGAGGATGGGTAGGATGGGTCTCGGGTCTTCCTTCCCGTTAACGAGGAAGGAGTCAAGGGCAGAAAATCTGTGATCCTTCTGAGACCCATCTCCCTTTTCTTTCTTTAGCTGGTGTGAGAGTGGACTGGCTTTAAGGAAAAGCTGTTTGCTTGCAAATGCAGGCCCGTGGTGACAAAAGAAAGAGCAACGGAATGGATAGCGCACAGTGCACACACAGCCTCACCGCTCCTGCTCTGAACAGCGACCCTGGGTGTGTCCTTCGAGGTGAGTGAAAGGCATTGTCATTGTAAGGAGAGCACAGATGCTCTGCCTGAGAAGGACTGGCCTCTCTGAGAAGGACTGAGCACCCAGATGCTCAGGCCCCTGTCAGTGCCTGAGTTAGCTCCAACCTAACATCGCAACCCTGACCTCCTTAATAGCTCTGCTCCCCAAAAAGGTCTGCGCCAAAATGTCCAATCTGCAGCACTTGCTAAACCCAAAATTGGCTTGCTGCTCTCCCTGGTGCTGGGGTGAGGGGCAGAAGGAAAGCAGAATCCCTTGGGTGGAGGTGGGTTCCCAGTGAGGCCCTCTGCCCTGGGAAGGGACCGTGGCCCCTTGGGGAATTTCGTTTTCTCCTTCTGGAAGTGGCTGAGCCAAGCCCCTCTGGCCCTCTCGCCCATGCTTCTTGCTAGCAGGCTCTGAGATCAAAGCCTTTTTCCAGGGGTTAGAGTTGAGTGGAAGAAGTCTGCTGGAGGAAGACATTGCTGTGACTTGAGTCTAGGCAGGGTGTGCCTGCTCTGATCTGGGTTATAGAACAAAGCAGGGACACCTACGCTGTGTCCCGTCCCCCTGGAGGTCCCACCCAGGTGCTCTGGACGCTCATGCAAATGCCCTGAGGTCTGTGCTGCTGAGGTCCCTTTCGGGTCGGGAGAGCAAGGTCCCGCCTTGGTCCCAGGGCGGGTCGTTCTGGGCAGCCGGGGTTCCCTCCCCTGAACCCCCTCTCTGAGCTCTCTGAGGGCAAAGACAAAGGAAGCTATGCTGCCAAGTTGCAGATTTTGCCTCAGGCAACTAAATTTATTAGCAAGAAAAAGTTTTGTCAGCCCAATGCTGAACAACAAAGTACATTGTTAATAAAGGATAACAAATCTGTCAATCATAAAACATACCTCAAGCAGTTACAACTAAAAATAAAGTTGGATTTTGTTTAATTTAAAAGCCTCAAAAATAACAAGCAATATGTTTTTAAACATGTAGTAGACACAATTGTCTATTATACAATATACACTGTACATAACTAGAGCTGGGGCCGGTAGCGGTGGGTGAGATGAAGGGAGAGCAGAAAGGTTCAGGATGTGAAGTTGGTTTTATCTGAATTTAAATTCGAGTTGAAATGCTGTGTCGTTTAGAAAAGAGAATTGCTAGAGTGAGAAAAAAATCCGTATGCTCATCATTGCCCCCCAAAACCCTAAACTGAAAGCAGGCATGGGGGAGGTGAGTAACAAGGACAGGGAGCAATTAAATAAAACGTCTTTAAAGCACACACAATACACAGTGTTCATTATCTGAAGTAGAGTATAAGGCAACGTTCTCCATAGAAAAAGGGGATCGGGGAGTCCGTGGGTAGCTTTATCTTTAAATAGAAAGTTGGAATGTGCTGGAGAAGAGTCGTGGCAGGGCCGGGTGTGTGGAGTGAAGGCGGCCGCTTGGGCGCCGCGGGAGATGGGTGCCAGTGGTGCCCTGGGTGCAGGGCCTGGGACACCCGAGGTGGCTGAGGGGCCAGGGAGGCGCGGAGAGAAGGGCATGGCACAATGATGCGACTTGGGCAGTGTTACAGGGTGGGGGGGCTCACTTTGCTCCTCGACGGAGTGAAATTCATGTTTTTCCTTTGGAAATAAAGGTTCCCACTCGTCCTGGTTTAGAACGTCTCATTGGGCATAGCCAGTGTCCACGGTCTGGTGAGAGGGAAGGGCCAGGGCAGAGCCAAGGGCTTCAGAAGGAGGCGTGTGTGGGGCAGCAGGGCCCCTTCCGGTGGGGACAGTTGCAAAACAAGGGGGAGGGGCTGGGGGCGGGCCCAGGGCAGCAGTGGGCCTCCTTTCCACCCGGGACCCAGGCGGACACCAGAGGGACTGCGTCTTCGAGGCCTCCTGCCTCAGTGGGCCTTACAAGTTCTTTGTAACCAGGTGGGTCTTGTAATGTTTGGTGAGGTGGTCACTCCTCATGAAGCGCTTCTGACACTGGGCACACTCGAAGCGTTTGTCCCCTAGGAAGAGGAGATGCCCGTCACTCACAAAGCCTGTTCACAGACATTATCCCAGCCCCCCAAAAGGAGAAGCACACGTGACATCAAACTTGTGATGTCAAAAATAATACTGACATTAATTGGATATAAATGAGTAAAAACAGTGAAATGATTTCAGGAGGTGACCGTGAGAGAGGAGGTGTGGGGAAGCAATTAACGGCATGGACTTAGGGTCCAGAAGGCCCGCAGCTGACCCCGCCTGCACCGGTCACGAGCTGCGTGACCTGGCCACCTCGCTGTGCCTCTGTAAGATGGACACCATCGAAGCATCCGCCCCACACAGCTGTTATGAGGGTCAAAGCAGTCGACCTGTGAAGTGCGCAGTACCGTGCCGGGCGTACTATGTCAGTGCTTGTGAAATAAGTAACTGCGCGGCTACGGAAGAAGGCATCAAGGCTGCGTTGGGAAACGCATCAATTCGCTTTGGGAAACACTGTGATAAAGGAACGGCCTAAGAGCATTTCCTGGGGGAGGCCTGGACCCAAGAAGAGAGTCTGCAGCTCTTGCTCAGTGTAGCGGTTCCTCAGCAGGGCCAGGAACCTTAATGCTGCTGAGGGCGATGGGGGGATGGGGGCAGGCCGGTCTGGGCGGGAGCGTGCCGCTGGGGACGGACACAGACCTGTGTGGGTGCGGGCGTGCCGCTGGAGTTCGTCACTCCGTGTGAACCTCTTTCCACAGAAGAACCAGTTGCAGACAAAGGGCCGCTCCCCAGTGTGCAGGCGCACGTGGGCCCGTAGCAAGGATGTCTTCCGGAAAGTCTTGCCGCAGTCGGGGATGTGGCATACGTGCTTCTTCTTGCCCTGCTCTCCAGACCTGGGAATGGAGAGCGCAGTGGAGGGAATGGGAGGAGGAGTGTGGGGTGGAGGTGGGAGGCGGGGCAGGACGAAGAGCACAGGAGAGGTGAGGGGGCTGGTGGCGTGGAGCTGCTACCTTGTCCCCTCTCGATCTGTGTCCCAGAAAGGGGCTTGGGGAACAGGGCACGTGCCAGGCTGCCAGTACGGCTCCAATTACCTCTTGTCCCCGTCCTTGCAGTTGGGACATGTGCAGGCCATGCGGCGCCGCTTCTCCCCAGGCTGGGCCTCCCCGGACAGGGCCTGCTCCATCTGCAGCTGGATCTGGGTGGGGCTCAGCCCGCTGATGGTCAGGTTGTTCCCAGAAACGTTCTGCACCGTCAGCTGCTGCTGCCCTGTGGGGAGCAGGAGGGCATGGTTGCAGTGAGAAGCCTGAGGGCGCAGAGGAGGGAGCCTGACACCCTCCTCCCCTTCTGCACATGATCGGGATGGACCGCAGCAGTGAATGCTTTTGAGAGCCTGTTATATGCCAGATACCATTTGAGAGGCTTTAAATGTATAAATTCCTTCAACCTTCATAATCCTACAAAACAGGTACTATTATCCTCCTTTCACTGTTGAAGAAACTGAGGCTCAATAACGTATCAAGGTCACACAACTAGTAAGTGGCAGAACTCCGATCTGAACCCAGGCAGCTGACTTCAGAGTCAGTGCTACTTCACCACACCGGCTGAATCCGCTGTCAGGGGCTGCCCACATGTGTGAACTGGGAAGGGTCTTGTCTCGGGTTGTCTGGAGGAGTGTTTCTTACAGAACTTCCTCCAGTCTTAGACCCTTGTGAGATACCAGCTCTGCTCTCAGGAAAGTCTGATTTTTGTTAGTAAGAGTAAGAAAACAGCTCTAAGGGCTTTGGAAAAAATCAAGACCTTTAGGACTTGCATAAAGCCTTTCAAAGCAGGGGAGTGTCACCGACCTTCTGCTGGTTTAAGAGGCCACTGCCCTGGAAAGGGCCCTTCACCTAGGTAAAGGCAAGGCAAGGAACCATTTTTGCCAGGGAGCTACAATGTTCCTTTGATGATTTGCAAGGCTGCTTTCATACTGTAAGTATTACCACATATTCCTACTCAACTAAAGTGAAACACAAGGTATTCCCACTGCCAAAGGCTCCCTCCTTTCTTTCCAACCTTAATGCAAGGCTTTGCTCATTCTGGAAGCCTCCCTTCAAGTTTTTCTACCCAGGGCCTCCCTTGAACATCTGTCTATGGTCTCTATCAAACTAACATGCATTTGTGTGTTAGCTAGAGAGTTTTCCTGAGCATATCTTATTTTCTCCACCATATTCAAAGTCTTCAGCTGTCAAGTGGGGCCAACGTACATTCTTTTTTTATTTTTTAAAGATTTTATTTATTTTTAGAGAGGGGGGGAAGGAGGGAGAGAAACATCGATCGGTTACCTCTCACATGCCTCCAACCGGGGACCTGGCCCACAACCCAGGCCTGCGCCCTGACTGGGAGTGGAACAGGCTATCTTTTGGTCTGCTGGATGATGTCCAACCCACTGCACCACACCAGTCTCGGCCAACATACATCTTAAACTGCCTCACAGGGCTACCATAAGGACCAAGTGGACATGTTTGTAAGCTGGGAGGGATGAGGCAAGTGTCAGGCAGTATCCTCCCTGCTGTTACTGGGAAGCACGGGGCTTGCCCACAGTTGCCATGGGAGGGGTGTACAGACACACTACCCACGCCCTGGCCCAGGGGCTGCCTCTTACCGCCGGTGTTGGTGATGGTGACAGGGACACCCTGGACCTGCACACCATTGATGTTGATGGTCTGCATGGCCTGAGCCGCCGCCGCCAGCTGCGCTGCATTCAGGCTGATGATGCTCCCGGCAGGGGCGATCTTTGGCAGGGGACGCTCTTTCCGGAGTATTGCCGCCGAGTGCTTTTTGCTGGTCCCGCTCGGATGGGGAGCACGGGAGGCAGGGCTGCTACAAGTGGTGGTAGAGGTGGTCACGGCCGTTGCTGGGGGGCTGTCCTGGACCAGGACTGTCTGCACCTCACCGGAAGGCGTACGGATGTAGACCTGGAGGGGCCACAAGGAAGAAGTCAGTGTCCCCGTTGAAACCAGGCTCCCGGCACCTTTCCGTGAGTGCAGTGTCGTCTCCCTGCCCAAAGGAGTGGTGGGAGTGCCCCCCTGTCTGCCCAAGCCCCCTCAGACTAGCCCAAGCCGAACCACGTACTTGCCGCCGGCCAACGAAGGGCTGCCGGCATTCCTAAGCTACGCTGGCAAATGGCGACTGTTGATTTGAAACCAAACATTTCATTTATTTTGCAGGGAAAAAGAGAAATGCCAAATCTCAGAACTGGAGAAGCATAAGGCCACTAAATGATGACCTCAGAAAAGATGCAGTCGCCATGAAATGAATGAAAACAGCTCAATTTGGAGAAAAAGGTTTCTCCTATTCAGACTGGCAAAGATGGAAAAATAAAATACAATGCTTACTGTCGGTGAGACAGCAGGGAAACAGGCACTCACTCGTGCGTTAGGAGTGGGAGTGTGCAGTGAGCCGTCTAGGCTTGCTGGAGGGAAATTTGGGAATATGTGTCAAAAACCTTAAAAATATGCATGTTAGAGCCTGATGGGACAAGGGCATGGGAGAGCTGCGACAGCCGTGGGAGACTGGTTACATGCACAGGAATTGACCCAGGAAGGAAATATATTAAGGGTAATGGGAGTGAGGATTCTCACTGTCAGAGAAGAGAGTTACAAATAGGGAAAGGGAGAAAACTAGAACGAACCCTGTGGTATTCGGTGGGAGTTAGAGGTCTTGGTAAAAACTCTTGGGGAGAGAGAGAGAGAGAGAGAGAGATATATATATATATATATATGAATATATATATATGAATATATATATGAATATATATATATATGAATGATGCATGATATATGGAACAGAAAGAGGGCATTAATGGAAAAACCAGTAACATCCCAAACTAGTCTGGCAGTTTAGTTAACAGTAATGTTCAGTGTTAGTTCCTTGGTTTTGACAAAGGTGCTGGCAATGGAAGATGTTTAACAATGGGGGAAGCCAGGTGACACATATACTGTCCTACGACTGCAGCCTTTCTGTAAATATAAACTACAATAAAAAGTTAATTTTAAAAATCTCTATCATAGTAAAAGATACCAAAACAAGGGGGCAAAAGTCTAATGAGGAATGGGATATTTACACAGCCTCAAAGTGATATTCCTGGGCGAGGGGGGACAAGCAGAAACCCACAACCTGCATCTAGTCTTGAGAAAACATCACATAAACCTAAACTGAGGGACATTCTACAAAATAAACTGCCTGCAGCTTGTAAAGACTGAGGCACTGTTCCAGATCAAAAGAGTCTAAGGAGACGTGATGATAAAACGCAATGTGTGGTACTGGATGGGAAATTTTTGCCACAAAGGAATTATTGGGAAAAGTAGTGAGACCTGACTGGGGTCTCTGAATTAAGACATTAGTGTGTTTCACTGCTAATCTCCGACGCTTGATGGTTGTATTGTTGTGTAAAATGTCTGTGTGTGTAAGAATTACACACTTCTACAAAGCATTTGGTGGCAACTTATGCGCAAATGATTCAGGGGAAAAGTCCTTTGTAAAAAAAAAAAAAAAAATATCCCTGCTGTGTTTGTGACAGGGGTTATTGATTCCTAAATTATTTAGGACTGTGTTTCTCAGTTAAGAGCAAGAAAACAAATCTCATGTCATCTCAACATACAAATTTCATTTCCAGTTTTCTGATATGTGCCCTTTTGCAAATCATTGCTATTTTCTGTGTATCTGAAGTTTCTGTTACTAGAAAGCTTTTTGTTCACAATGTAGAGCAGGGATCAGTGAACTTTTCCTGTCAAGGGCAGGCAGTAAGTATTTTGGGGGCCTTGCAGGCCATGAGGTCTCCACCATGTAGTGCAAATGCTGCACGAACGGGCATGTCTAAACATAAATGGTCGTGTCTTAAACTTTATAAAAACAGATGGGTGGGCCAGATTTGACCTGAGGGCTGTGGACTTACCATCTCTGATACAGAAAACAATACATTTTTTAAAAATGTGCAGATCCTTTGACTTACTTTGAAGAATTTACTTAGCTCTATGGTTGGAAACAGCCTAGGTATATAGTTAACAGGGTATTAGTTGTGTAATAGACTCCCACCTCAGGATAATGGAAAACTTATGTCGTCATTAAGAAATAACGCTGTGGCTAAAGCTTTCTGCACCTGTACGATTATTTCCTTAGGAAGCCCTGGGTTTAGGCCCTGCCTCCGTCAATCTTAAGACACAGAACCTCAGGAAAGGGAGGGGAGCCACTGCAGAGGATGCGTGCACCTGTGAGGGTGTCTTCACCTAGTTCTTCGGCTGCAAGGTAGGTTTGATAATGGAACCTCACAGGTATTGTAATAAGTAAATTAAAGAATTTAGAGAAAATCACTTGGCAATACGTAGTACGCCAGGAGGGAGGAGGCACTTGAGGGCGGCTCTCGTGACTTCCATGGCCACAGCTCAAACACAAGGGCACTTCTCCACCCAGGAGATTGCCCAACTTCCTCCTGTGACTCACTGTGAAGCCTCGGTCCTCTCTATAGATGACTAGATTACAAATTCCTCAATGGCAGGAACTGTTTTTTTCATATTAAAAAAAATACCGCCCTCAATGTTAATGGTAGCTCCTGCCACACATAAGAGACAATGAATTGAGGTGGAAGGGTTTAAAATCTGAGTTGAATCCTGGCTCTTGTCATCAACATATCATGAGATCTGGATACTTTATAACTTCTCTGGGTTCCAGGTTTTCCAGGCATAACCTCCAGCACTTAGTAGGCACACACAACAAATAAAACCTGCCTCACAGGGCCAAGTATTAGAGCACCTCAATAAACACCAAAAATAAGAGCATTCTCGTTGAAATTAACATCCCAGGTGACTAGCCTAAATGTTCCTGTTCTCCAACTGACTGTTTCTCAGTTTCTGAGAAAAAAATAGGCTGCTGCTGCATATTTTTTTCCTTATCATTAACAATGATCAGCATTTTTCTTGTCTTCATATCAAATTCTATGGTTCTGACTGGAATTTTTTTTCATTCTTGCTACCGTCCTGAGTATGCAATTCTATAATAAAAAACAAACTTTATTATTAAAAAGTAGGTATCTGCCCCCTACCCACCCCCTAAAAGACTGCCATAAAGAAAAAGAGGGCCAAAATATAGGTAATAGGTATGCTCCATCTGATTTCTACAGATAAGCTGTACTCAGCCCTATGAACTGAAGAGAATCCACTGATTAGGCGGAAGCGGCCACATACTGCCCACCCCAAGCAATACTGACTCCCAACATTCAGATCAAATTGGGAGACGCATCAGCATCATCTTCAAGAGCAAGCTGAATGGGATGGAGCGCTAGCCAGTTAGTGCCGAAGAGGAGAGGGAAGCAGGTGCAGAGAGTGTGCGCGGTACCTGAGTAGATGTCGGCTCAGCCGCCTGGATCTGAAAGTTCTGGGAGGGCTTCTGGGGGACAGTGGGGAGGGTGGCAGATGCTGCCTGCACCACCCTCAGGGCCTGCTGGGGGATCTGCACCACCTGCTGCTGCTCGGCCTTGGGGGGCACCACCTGGACCTGCTGGACCACAGCGGGCTGGCCCCCACCAGGGCTCTGAACGATGAGCAGGTTGTTTCCCGCCTGGATGATGTTGTCGGCTGTGGTCTCAATCAGCACCGTCTCCACCTGCTCAGCCACGGCCACAGAGGTCTGGGAGGCAGGGAGACTCTTCTTCCTGGCTTTCTTGTTAGTCTTGGACAGCGGAGTTGGGGGGCTCTCAGTGAGGAGCTGGGTGGCGGCCCCAGTGTCGCTGGTACTCATGAGGTTGTTGACAGGCAGAGTAAGGGTCACGTTGCCACCCCCACCTGTCAGCTTCACCACATTGGCCCCACTCTGCAAGGGACTGGCAGTTGTATTTGACTTCTGGACAGGGGCTGGCTTGATGGGGACAGGCTTGTGACTGGACGGAGAGGGGGTGATGATGGCCTGGTTGGTGCCAGGGATGATCTGGATCTGGTTGGTGAGATTAGGCTGCACTTGGATGGTCTGGGAACTGCTCGCCTGGATCTGAGAGACCGCCTGGTACTGGATGTTGGCATTCGATCGGGTCCCTTTGTTGATCATGGTGGGATTCTGAATAGCAAACACCAGCTGACCCCCAGGATAGGATGCACTCAGTTGTGACCCCTGGATCTGAAGTATGTTTCCTTTGGGTGACAAGATTCCAAAGCTATTCTTGCCGGGGCTGAGAGGGAGAGGGGCAGGTTTGATAGGGACGAGCTTCCGTGGTGTGGGCTGCGGAGGGGCAGGAGGCGTCACTGCAGCCTCAACAGCTGGAGGCCCAATTTTGCTACATGTTGCTGCGAGCAGGGCTAAGGGAGACGGCTGGGAGTCCTGCGGAAGACCAAGCGGAGGAGAGTAGTTAGGCCTGAGTGCCTGTTGCCCGGCCACGCTCTACCCGTCCGTCCGAGCCTCTCCCTTTGGCAGGCTCCTCCCCACTTCTGAGGCCGGCAGGCTGCCGGCATCCTCCCCCGTGGTGGTCCTGTCTCCCTGCTGGGTTCCCCATTGAGCAATTCAGGAGAAATGCCTTTCTCAGGAAGGGGCGCCCCAGAAGCAGCCCTATGACAGGGTGACCTAGCAGCTTAAACTGACTACTCCTCACTGGTCTTGTTTCTAACAGGGACACAGAACCACCCTCAGCTCTTGGAGTCCTGTTGGCCCGTCGCAGGGATTAAGGGATCCCTGATACTTCAGCTGAGGAAAGGAGGGAGGGAAGGAGTAGGGGAGGGGCGACAAGAGGAACAAACCCTCTGGTAAAGTGTTTTCTAGTGCATGGGACATGGCTTCACTGACCAGGGAGGGCTGCTCTTTTGAGGCTACAAGGAAAGAGTCTCTGGGGGGAAACATTCTCTATTTCCTTATATGGTCGGTCAGTGGGTTCTGGTGGAAATGACCTTGAGTTTAATCCTGCTTTTCGCCCCTGACCCAACTGTGGCACCTTCGATTAAGTGGCCGTGGTTTCTTAGTTCAGAAACAGTAGATCACTGAACCTTCCCTCATCTCACATCCTGGGGTGTTTATAGTGAGTGTCTGTTGTGGCTGAAGGGCAGCATCAGGGAGTCCTCCCAGCTGGTGCGGCCCTGCCCGCTCAGAGCCCACTCACCTGGGTGGTGGAGGCAGCAGGCTGCAGGTAGTCACTGGGACTCACAGCGGCAGTGGCGGCCATGCTGGTCTGTGGATCTGCTGGGAGAAAGGAACGTAATGCCCAAGATGCTCAGAAAGAACTGGTCTCAGGTCTTCTTGTTGTCTGTTTGCTGCTGCTTCTCCAAGAGAGGCTAACGACCCTTCCCCACACTAACCCCACTCAAGCTTAGCCACCCTACAGCTTGTTTCAGTAGGTGACCGGCTTCCTCTCCTCAGGCTCAGCCATTCCAGGCTGTGAGGA